ACGGGCTCCGGGGAGCTGCCCTCCTGGCGTGCGCGGGCCATGGCGCTCCCTGGGGCCTGCGGGACACGGGAGGAGGAGCAGGTCAGCAGGGAAGTACCAGGACCCACTGTACCTCCAGTCTACCCGGGGTCAGGACCCAGATGGAGAAGAGTGGAGGTGTGTGTGCATGCGGAGGGGGTGATGGCCCCACAGAGACACGCCCAACCAGGGGATGACACCACCGGGTCCTGGCTGGTCTGGAGAGCCTCCCCTGCATACGGTGATGGGCACACAGGAGGGACAGGGAGCACAGGATGGCTCTCACAGCAAAGACAGGGCTCACACAGGACGGATGGAGGGGTCTAGCAGGTGTGTGTACGTGGGCTGTGACAGTCCCACAACACAAACTCACTCCACTTGGGACTCACAGCATGGGCTGGTGGGGACAACTTTCCCAACACAGCGACGGGTACACAGGGAGGGCAGCGAGGCACAGTGAGGCCCCCACAACACACACACAAGGACTCACACGGGACTGGCCAGCCTGACCACCCACCCCACCTCCCACTTGCACACAAACACTGAGATGGCCCCAGTCTCAGACATCGCTACTCGGTACACACAACATACACACACACATACACCCCGACCAAAGCAGGAGCATCCAGACAGACCATCACAAGCACTCTACATACTGCGCACACTGGCTGGCACAACCCATCCCCACACACACATCCAAACTGTCAAAGTCTCACACACTGACCCACTGTTGATATGCCCAGGGGCACATGCAAACACAATGCAGCCATTGCAAACACAAACACACACACACCAGCTAGGCACTGCCTCAGTTCCCAAACATGCCCCTCTCCCCACACACACACACACACACACTCACTCCAGAGATAAGACCGGCACACCTCTGGACTCACATATCAACACAAAACAGACACCCACGGACACACATACAACAACACCCCCAAAACACACCCACATGTCACCAACTCTCAGGACACACGTAAATCAGGCACACACAGACACATGCCATCAGACCTCAACACACCACCAGACACGCAGGCTATGACCAGCAGACACCAACCCACCCTCCTCACGCAGCCCTCAAACACCATCACCAACTGTCAGCAACACACACACACACCCTACAGCTAACTCTAATCCCACACAGCCCAGCAGCGCACACACCTAGCGCACCCACAGAAAACACTGGTCTCACGTGACTGACATAAACACTACACACACGCAGCCCACATGACACACATGAGCCAGCCGATCACAGTGACAAGCCCCTCAGACCCAACACACACACGCATACACTACACACACACACAGAGGCTCAGAAACAACCCCATCCAGAGGCTGCGAGCAACACCCACCGTCTACACTGTATAGACCCCACAGATCCTGGGCCCTCAAATCCCAGACGCTGATGCCAGACACACAAGCCAAACCCAGACTGAAACAATCCCCCACCACACACACACACACACACCTGAGAACTCACACAGACACCTGGACAGAAAACAAGACATTTGCATTTAGCAGGCGCAGCATCACAAACGCTGGGCAAAGACACACATGCCCCGGAGATACAGAGACAGCCTCAGCCAAGACAGAAACACACAGGCAAGACACAAGCGCACACACCGCACGCTCGGGCAAGACACACACAGAAACACACAAACAGCTCACTCCAGCAACACACACACACACTACAACCTCCACACCCCAGCACACGCAGGCAACAGACCCCCAGTATCACCCCAAAACAGCACACACAGACAACTCTCACCGAGAACACACGCAGGTCCACCCACCCCACAGGCAGGGCACCCACAGACAGAACCCCACACAAACAGGCGCGGGGACTCACGCAGACACCCCGACGGGTCAGAAACCCCAACATTCCTCCGGATCGACACCACCACTCGCTGCAGAACCCAGCACAAACTCAGAGCCAGACACGCGCACACACCCAGGCGAGACACCTGCAGATCCACAACCCCGCACACGCGCGCTCCCACGGCGGTCCCAGACGCCCCCCTCCGCTGTCACAGCCC